ATCCTTCTAGAATATCATGACGTGTTACTAGCGTCACGTGACTTCCGCTGTCGTAACAATATTGATGCCTTGTGGTTAAATTGTATATCAAAATAATCTAAGTTTATTTCATCATAATCTATATCTCCATTTAAGAGTTCATTAGTAGCCTGTATTTAGACCATTCACAAACAATTTCATCTAAACACCTTTTTATGAAACATACTTTAATATTATAGTCCCGCAATAACTAAGAACTCCTTTCATTTTGTTTCTGACTATGCTTTAAAATGATTAAATGGTTTTAGCAAGAAGTGGGAAGATTCCTTCCCCGTGTTTTGTAGTTGTTGGAATAATCTCTAAAATTAAAAGTTCATTTGAAGTGGTATTATCGTTTTTTCTTAGATTCTACTAATGATACATCAAAGCCCATAATAGTTTTGTAGTTTATGTTTAGTGTTTCATCCACTTCTAGTACAAATCTGCTTCAGTAGATTGTCTTCAACATGTTTCATCTTTGAGTTTTGTTACTTTACAGTTTCATGGCATAAAAAGTGTCAGTTTTGGTTAACTAATTCACTTTTTCTAACATTCCATCATCTATTAATTTGCGAGTTTCATGGTGTAAATCATAGATTACGAGGAATTTGTGCTGTTATGTTGTATTTTCTTGTGGCATCTTCTTGCGCATTTGTAAAATGTAAAACCTGAATTTCGTAATACATGTTTATATATATATCAACATAAGCCATTTACAATGCCCAGGAAAATGCCTGTCAACATTGTATTTTATACTCTTGTTTTTTTATGAAGTTGTCTTTAAATTATATTTGTTCATGAAATGTTTTAGAATTTTATCATCTACTGTAGTTAAATTATTGCTTATTTTTAAGCGCAAAGCCACACAATAGGCTATCTGCACTTTGCCTACCACGGGTATCAAAAACCAGTTATTAGCGTTATAAGCACACACACACACACACATACAATTTTGAAGTACAAAAAATACAAATATAGTGTATTTTATTATGTAACTTGTATACATGGGAAATTCTCAGTTAATTTTTTTCTTACCTAAGAACAATTACAAGAAAATGTTATTATATATCTTATCAATTGATTTAGTACAAATGAATTTTTTAAAAATACATTACAATGCCAATCATCAAGACGTAAACCTCATCTCCGTTTTGTAAAACTTTATATAGCTGTGAAAGAAAATGAATGTCTCACGTGTGTAATCCACATGCACATATTTTCTTTTGTCAGATATACGTATTAGTCCATAAGATAAGTATTTTATTCTAAAAACCTTAATGATTTATATTCTAAAAATGTGGACGTTTGTTTTAGCATAAAAAGTTACCGCTGACCCACTGGGGACGTGACATTTGAAAGAAAAGATTAATAATAGATATTTCAGTTTTTTGTTCTTGTTTCACCGGTAATCGCCAGTAGTAATAGAACACTACGAGCCTCAACTAGTGACGTAGTTTCTGGTCCAGGCAGAGTGCAGAGTTTTTCTCTTCCTGTGATATGGAAGTCGTCCGCTCACGATGATGGTTGTTTCTGCAGTCGTAACAAAGCAGTGTGCGAAGAAATATTTTCACGTAATGAGAAGGTATAGGTTATTACATTCATGTACCTTAATTGATACGAAGTGGGTGGTAATACTAGGTAAGTTTCATGCTTATTTTAGACAATAATCTGTCTACTGGAAAGTAAATTATTTCATCATGGGTGGTAGTACAGCTCAATATACGTATTATTATTTTGGTAACGTAGTAGTCAGTGTTGTTTTTATTGGTTGCCAAGGTATTAGTGATGCTAATAAGATTTAAGTTATAGGTAATGAATAAATAACATATCTTGCAAAACGTATAGGGTTTATAAGCATATTGTTGTGTGGATAATCAAAACCGCATGATATTTGTTTAATTCGGTACTTATATATAGATCTATTTTAATAGCTCGTTATAATGAAAATAAACGATTTAAAAAAAATCTTATTCCAGTACTTAAGTTGTACCGTTTCAAGCTAGAACACAACATGCTTAATGCTGCAAAATAAACACATACATGTTACAGTTATCAAAACAAAACATTATTGTGCACTTGGAAAAGTTAAATAGTTATATATTATTAAAATTATCTAATAACATCGATATATTTATACAGAACACAGAAAAGCAGAAACATTGGTACCGAGAAAAAAAAAAAAAAGCTGATCTTGCTATTCTTTTCAATATCCAAAACGTGTATGTGCAGTTGCAACGTCTTAACAATGATATGTGCATAGATTTCCAGCGAATTAAGATAATTCAGTAAGATTGCTTTCTGACGCAACAAATCGTAGATGTAAAAATTTTGGGAAATTTCTGTTTGGTTATCTTAAATCTACATAAGATTATTAAGTAAGTAAGTTTAAGAAAATGAAAAACTACGTAAAGTGCTACCCGTGCTGCGCTCACCGCGAAACCAGATTGTTAGCGTTATAAGCCCATAGACTTACCGCTGAGCAATCGGGGGCAACGTTAAGGGGCTGATATTTTTGATGAATCGAGAAATATAAAGACCACTTATTTAATTTTATAGTTTTCTATAAAACAATTATAACTTTAATAGAAATTCTAATAGACTGTCAAGTTTAGCATAGACTAAAAACCGTATTAAAATCGAGTTTTTTAAATCTATGTGTTTCAAATTATTTTAAGTCTGAACTATCAGTCTATGAATTTGTATTCTTTTTTATTTTATATTTATGTATTTTATAAATTACTTCTTTATTTGTTTGTTGTTGTTAAGCGCAAAGTTATACAATGAGTTATTTGTGCTGTGCTCACTACGGTTATCGAAACCCGGATTTTAGCGTTATAAGCCTTCAGACTTACCGCTGAGCCACTGGGGGAAGTGGGGGGAGGCTTTATAGAATACTACCGAAATAATATCTCTCACAAAGTTATAAATACGCAGAACGTTAAAAGGTTGAAAGAGAAACTCGGGATTATTTTGTATTTGTATGTCGGTAAGTAAAGTATACTATTTTGTTTATCTACTTTTACTTTCATTAACGGTTACAATGTTTCATATTGTTACGACAGCGGGGGTCACGTGACGCTAGTAACACGTCATATTCTCGAAGATTCGTGAATGCTCGAGCGTTTACTAGATTTCAGTATTCTTGTATATATATATAAGACCGGTAAGAAGTGAAGACAACAATGTAATTGAACTGCAGACTGAAAGTTTGTTTGTATGTTTGTAATTAAGCACAAAGCTACACAATGGGCTATCTGTGCTCTGCCCACCACGGGTATCGAAACTCGGATTCTAGCGTTGTAAGTCTGCAGACATACCGCTGTGCCACTGGGGGGCTGCAGACAGAGAGAGAGACTGAAAATTGAGTCGAGCACGTGAGTCGTTCGTTGTGAATTATAGCGTTTGTTATAACGTGACTGTGGAAATTAAGTGTATTTCAAAGTTGTATTGAGAAAGAATAAACTAGTTTTATTTAAGAAAGGACTTGTGTTGCTAAAGTTTCATCGGAAAGAAATTATACGGGAAATTAATTAACGAACAGAGACGTAACAATATGTATAATTTTATCAATTTAAATTACTTTTATTTTATTTTTATTATAAAGATAATTTTGTATTGTAAGCTTTATATAAGGATTTAGGACTAACCTAAATCTCCTAAATGAGATGTTGGGTTTACGTCTGAAAATATCGTTAACACCGAATTAATGAATTATAATCTTCAAAAGTAAGAACGTAAAAAAAGTATTTTTATCTAGGTATATTCATTGCTAGCTTGATTTTTAGTTTCGCTCTAAATAGTTACTTGGTCTGATTGGTAGTTAATTTTAATTCCTTATTGTGAGAATAATCATATATTTTATCATTCTATTTATTTATCATTTTTTGTGCTTATTTCTTACAGTAATTCTGAAATTCATATGTGCCTCAAAAGCAGAAGAGGAATGTTTGTGTAAGTAACATTTGTGTACATAACCATTTGAAGGAATTGGCTTTGGGTCTAGTGATTTCAGACAGAAATTAAAAAAATAGTGTATATATAACATACAAGATTTAAAATTATTAATATGATTTAATGCAACATAACCATGATATTTATTAACTTTATAATATTTGTGAGTAAATTAAAGAAGTGACAAATCCATTATATGACCAAATATTATATCTGTCTGTCTGTATATTTTACTAACCTTTAGTAAGGTGTGTGTCTTAAAAATCAAAGGAATAAAATATTATTTTAGATTTAACAACTTGTGAGGTGGTACGTATGGATAGTTTTTGAATTTAGGCATAGTATTTATTATGAACAAACAAAGGTGACACAGGCAGCAATTACCTAGTTCAAAGCCATGACAAAATAACAGACACCTACCCTTCGATTACTACAGTTCTTCCTTACAATAATCGTAAATGATTATCACCAAATCTTTTTTTAGCTTTTCTATTGTATCACACACAAAAGAAAAAAACAACAACAACCTCACCTCCAGATCAACATATGTATTTGTCCAGACGAGTCAATTATTTAACACTGAATGACATTTCAAATCTATTATAGTTTTTCAGTAATATCAAAAACGGCCAGCATATATTTGTCTAGACAGGGCAGTTAATTAATACTGAATGTGACATTTCACATGTCATACAATTACACCATTTCTAATCTAAACTGATAAAAAAAAAGAATTACTCCAAAATAATTTGTCATTTTTCCATAATATTAACATCAAGGTTTATAGTCTACAAATTTATCCACCAGATCTCACACTAGAAAAAATTCCTTCTGCTAAAGATAGAGCACAATATCTGGATTTAGATATCAAAATCATTAATCAAACATTCAAGTATAAAGTTAAAAAAAAACACAGACACTTTCAATTTTGAAATTATACACTTTCCATTTCTAAATATGAAACTTCCAAATAAATTTTGTTACAATGTTTACTACTCTCAGTTTATTCAATACAGTAGAATTTGTTCATAATTAGAAGATTTTGTGAGTAGAGTTTGTGAACTCACTGTTGTTTTTCATAATGCATATTTCTCATTGTGCATTTTAAACACAAAATTTGTTTAATTCTGTGGGAAATTCAACAATATTATTCCTACAGATTATGGGTTTAGAAGTTTTGCAGAGTATCACGACAAAACCTTTCACATATAAACTTTAATTCCTTGGGATATTGTTTAGGCTCATGGGAACAGCTTTATTGTATTGACCACCATTGGTTTTTACCTCACATTAACTTTAATATTTTATATAGTTAATATTAGCCATATACAAGTTCCATACATATAATATGAAATTACTCTATTAGTTTAGTTATATTAGTTTTTGAATATTACTTTATTTGCCATATTAATGACTTTCCTAGTTTTCATTTCTAAGTAGTAGTATTTTTATTAAACTTTCTTATCGTTTATTATTTTTGGCTGTTACAGCAGATTTAATGTCATTTGTTAATTTCTGTAGTCAGCTCAATGTGTTTGTTACAGGAATAAAGTAACAGTGGTAAAGTTTTTAGACATATCACATAGTATGTTTAGCATGTTATTTTCTTTATATTACATTTAACATTGTTACATTTAGATGAACTTAGATATTATTTTGATTTATTTATTTTTGTATAGAGCTACACAATGAGCTGTCTGTGCTCTGTCTACCATGGAGAATCAAACCACAGATTTTAGGATTGTAACTCCATTATTATTTTGTATCTTCATAAACATTAGTTCTTGGTTGTACTGTAAGAAAATTTCTGCTACAGATATGACACAGGTTAAACAGTAACACATGTCAAATATTTCACCCGCCTCTGATACTAGTCAGTAGAGGAATCTTAATTAATTTTCTTTGATCAAAAGATGGCCTAAGGAGAAATGAAGGGAAAACAAGCATGTTATACCAGGGTTACTTGATAATTAATACATTTGTGTATTTTAGCCAGCAAGTTTTCCAACAGAAACAGTTAGTTTCAATGGAGATAACTTCAGTCTGCATACTGCAGATTGGTATTTATTCGGACAAACATTTGTATACATTAAAAGCCATAAGAAAGATTATAGTAAAGTTTTGCACTCACTTGCACTTGTAGACAGGGCCAGTTGTAGACATTTGGTGGTCCCAGGCAAACGTATTTTTGGCGGCCCTGTATAACAGTATTTAAGTACCTTGCATTATGAAGAATAAGTAACAAATCATTGAAAATTGATACGTATAAAAAAATAATTAACTCAACGAAAAGTTTTATTTTAATACAAAAGCATTTCACTTTAATTTAATTCAAAAGCTGATTTGAGATTTAACCCATATAAGTTTTAATTAATAACAAACTTATAGGAATCAAAGGATGCATATAAAAAACTATGTTTATATGAAAAGATTTCTTGCTTTACGACTTGCAAAACCACCAATTAAAGTTTAGTAATCAAATGATGATGCTACAAAGTATTCAGTTGAAATCATAGAAAGGTCAACCAGCATTTCTTGTGTCATCCTTGAATGTAAGTATGTCTTATATAATTTAAATTATTTAATATTTCTGAGCCAAAAACTGGGTAATGGATAAAAGACACTCAAGAATGTTGTGATAGTGAATCTTTTATTTATCAGTCAGTTGTTTCAGTTCTTTATCAATCGATTTTCCAGCTCCATCCATTGATGCCTAGCATCAATGTGCTTCGAGGTGGACTCGTACTCTCATAAGTATGTTGCAAGATTTCTCTAGTTGTTACAACCATCATTAGTAAAATGATTATGAGCTCTTCCAAAAAGCTTGCAACAAAAGCAGAAAATGCAGTTATTAGCTGCAGCATAGCAGCTCATGGAATGGCTCTCAGTTTTTTTTTTTGTTTTTTTACAAGTACAAACGTTTAGCTCATAGCTCTGTCTTCTTTGGCCTGATTTGAGATTTAATTATAGTTTTGGACTCAGAAAGTCAATTAATATATTTGACTATGCTAAAGGTCTACTCTAATTCTGCCTGAAAAGATTTCAAGTGCCGCGGCTATTGATGATTCCCTCTTGTGTTTTATTGAATAAACCAACTAACACCGATCAATTCTTTCTTTATTTGATAAATGTCTGGTATAAAATTATTCCGAAAAATGTCTACCATTATTGTTTCGTGCAAAATCATTGTCACTAACTCTTTTCACACCAGCTTCAACCCAAAACTCTCACTGATTGCCGCTTATGGAAGCAGCCACGAGTCAGTATCATTCTTATCAGTGTCAGTCGGTTCTATTTTATCGCTTTCAGAATTTTCTTTAGCTATCAAACTTTCTTAAAATGCTAAGAATTGCTCCTCTTTATGATCTGGCTAATGCCTCTTGGGCCTTCCTTCTTTTACGATTAAGAGCACCAGAATCGGTTATAGTCCCTCAGACAACAGACATTTTTATTCAAAGGGCTAGATTGCTAATGATGTATTTGAATTTATGTAATTTGTTAATCAACGCCTGCATATGAACAACAACAAACAATTAATAAATATAAAAGGGGCTTTTATAAATTTAAAAATATATTTTTTCAATTTTTAAGATTATTTTGTAATGTAATAATTGTACTGATCTAATATAACTTATTTTATTTACCAACAGAAATAGCAATATTGAAATATATGTATATTGTTACGTCCCTGTTCGTTTGTTAATTTCCCTTAGAAATTCTTTCCGAGAAATTTCAGCGATACAAGTCCTTTTTTTAATTAAAACTAGTTTATTCTTTCTCGATACAACTTTATAATACACAGAATTTCCACAGTCAATACGTTTACAATCTCGATAACAAAACACACACTTTATATTACCGCCACTACCGCTCGCTTGACTCAATTATCTCTCTCTATATCTATCTATCTGCAATTATTTGCCGGGCTTAAATACTAAAATAGAGGGCGCTTGGAAAAGACTAGAGTTGCCAGGAAAAGTCACGATCCTTCGAGAATCTCATGACGTGTTACCAACGTCACGTGACTTTCGCTGTCTTAATAATATATATATATATTTGTATGTTGTCAATTGTTAACTTTATTATTAATGTATATCAGGGGCCTTCAACCTGTGGTACGCGTACATACATACATACATACATACGCACAGTGCTATCGGTATATACAAATTGCCAATCTTTAATATTTACACACTAAGAAATTTATTGTAACAATCATACCTACTTACACATAGAATACATAGTCCTAACAATCATAAATAGTTTTATGGATTACTCATTGTTAGAAAATAGAAATGCTTCTTATCTCTACCCTCTTCTAAGGTTTGGAATGAAATAATCGATGAATGTTCCAATTAGTAAGACGACGCATGTGCAGAAAATGTTGTTTGAGGTTCGCCATGTGCTATGAAACCAAAACCATCCGGTGTAGCGAAAAAGTTATATTTGTGTCTTACCAATGAGTGGTACTAACTCAAAATTACAAAATTGACCGATTTGCTGGTTTACGATATATTAGATATTAAGTCTTATAGGTCCGTTAATCTTGCCCTTCACACATTTATCTCAAAATGTAGTTCTAAAATTTTATTTATTCCTGTTAATTTTTTAATTTACTTTAAAATTTGGCGGCTCCAAGAGGACGCTTAGTTTGCGTGCTATTAGGACCAGCTCTGCTTGTAGATATATAGATGATATTCATATACCAAATTATCAAGTTTTATAGACAGTCTACAAATTTATCCACCAGAGCTCACTCTAGATAAAAGCTCTTTCACTGAAACAAAGCACAATATCTGGATATAGATATCAACATCATTAATCGAACATTCAAGTTTAAAGTTTTCAGTGAAACTGAAGCTTTCAACTTTGTGGTTGTAAACTTTTCATTTCCAAATATGAATATTCCAAATAACTTATATTACAATGTTTGCTAATTACAGATTATTCGAAACAGTAGAATTTGTTCATAATTGCAAGATTTTGTGAAGAGTGCTCGT